TCGCATTCTGCCAAATTTTCTAGGTGAGACTTACAATCAAGACAAGAATTTTGATCCTTCCCCAGCCACAGAAAGAAAGACACCCCTTGATTCAAAATTCTCTCTTCTGGTCTCTGTTGCCCACAAGTAACCCCTCCAAGTTCAGATAAAACATAAAAGGTGATCTCAGTGTGATCACTCAGTGTGATCCAACTGAGTCAAAGGAATGTGGGACTTGCCTTTTAGCCTAGAGGGGCAAACAGAAGAGGTTTTAGCATCATCCATCAGCTTGGCTGCTGTTTATGAAATAAGCTGGTGCTTGTGTATCCAGGTTACACAGCAGCAACATTTGTCCTTAGGAACTGTCATTTGGATCCACAGTCTCAACAAGGAGAAAACCAGAAAATCTTGAAAGCATTAAGTAATTGAGTAAATACATGAGTCAGGACTATTTTTCTCTACAAATTCATGAGGAAGCAGTAGATAGCTGCTGTCTTCCAAGGACAGAAAACCTTCATTTCCAGGAGTGTCAGCTCTGGTGGATTCCCTCAACCCTAAAAGCTTTCCCTCAACCCTAAAAACTTTAGCTTTCCATGATCTGCAGAGCTCATTATGGGTTTAGCTCATGAAGCTCATTTATCCATACCATGGTTCATGCTCTTAAAATGTGTCTTTGCCAGCATCCGTTAAAGAAATGCTTCCCTCTAATTACTCCAAAATAAAAACAGGGCCAATAATGGTGGTTTTTTTCCTCTGTGGCATCTTCTAGTTCAAGAAGTACCTCATCCTCACAGCTGAATTTCCTTAGGCTGCACACAGGTTGGGTTTAAGAGCAAATGATGAACCAAAGCATGATGTTTTAGCTTAAACCCTTCAAAAAGAACAAATAACTGATGATGAATTTTCAAGGGGATTGTGCCTCAGGGTACAGACATGAAGCCTCTTTTGCTTGCACAGGGTAACACAATCAGACCAGACTTCCTATAAATATAATGCCCAAATCAGGCCATGTTAGATCAAGATTCACAAATCTACTTTGCCACCTCATAGTAACAGCAGGAAACTCAGCAACAGAAAAAGAGAGACTTAGTGTTGCTTCTGACTGTCTGTACTCTAAATTAAACTCTTTCTGTGCAGGTTGAGGATGACACAGCTGCTGCTGAGCATGTCAGATTGATTTTGCCAGGTATGTGCCTGCATGGGACTGCTTTTTAATTTAGTAACTGGGGGGTTAATTAGTTCTGGGAGTGTAAACAAGTTGGTTAAGCAGAAGTCCAGAAGAACTGCCACGTTCCAGTTGACTAAGACCTAGAAGTAGACTAAACATGTAGCAAAAATAACCAGTCTGCTTTTCTGAACACCTATTTACTAAATTAAAATGAACCCAGAGTGGTGCAGAAGTCGGAGATTATATCTTGCTGGCAATAAGATGGCAAGGCTGTTCCTCAGACCTGTGGGATTCTGAAAGGGTTTTCTGTAGCAAAATTCAAGTTGCATGTTTTTTAAGAGAAGTCTCTGATAATTAGAGCCTGTAAGTTTATTTCATAACTTTAAACATTTTATTTAAGAAAAAAGATTCTTCTCCCAGAACATACTTCAGGAAAGTTGTTGAACCATATGACAGTCTGCAGAATGGTAATTTCATGTTTTGTCAGCAACTGAAAGAATTTAGATGGTTGAGAAGATAATGACAAACTAGAAAATGGTTAAAATAGGCTCTCACTCTAAAAAAAACCCAACAAAACAACAAAAAACAAACAAACAAACAACCATGGGAAAAGTATTCCAGTGACAATATTGGCAAATTAAAAAAAAAAAAAAAATCAGGTGAAACCCAAAAGATTTTGTGTTGGTAACTAAAACTGGAGCTTCACCAGGGAGGTCAGATCAACACCTCCATACCAACATTTCCAAATCACACTAGTTTTTCCATTATGAATCATGGTCATTAGTGCCCATTCTGGAAAGCCCTTGGACAGTCCAAATGGAAAAAATGAGACTTTGCCTGGATACTCTGACTAAAAAGTATTTGACATTTTCTGGCCAAATACATATATTTAAAGGTCTCAGCAGTTTGAATTTTTGGGAAGATACTAAAATGCATAGCAAAAGCAGGAGAAATATAAAGGAATTCTTTTTCTTTGAAAACCAGAAAATACAAAAGCCTTCATTCACTTTGAAGGGAAATGTAATAGAGTTAGGATTCTTAGGGAGGACTCATCTCTGATTTAACCTAGAATCATAGAATCATTAAGGTTGGAAAAAACAGATATTTCACAGGATATTCTTAGCTGGAAGGGCCCCTCAAGAATCATTGAGATCTCCAAAATCATCAAGTCCAACCTTTGACCAAACACCGCCACGTTAAGTAAACCTGTGATGTCCAGTTTTTTCTTGAACACCTTCAGGGGTGGTGACTCTACCACTTCCATGGGTGGCCTGTTCCAGTGCCTTAAAAGCGTTTCTGGAAATTCTGACATTCTCCCTGGTCCAACCTTGACCTCCCCTGGCATGGCTTGAGGCCATTTCTTCTTACCCTATTTGCCTGGGAGAAGAGGCCAAGCCCCACCTGGCTACAACTTCCTTTCAGGAGATGTTCTGGGGATAACCAGTCTTTCTGTTAAAGGCTGAGGTAAAAAAAGCATTAAGTACCTCAGTGTTTTCCTCATCCTTGGTGCCAATGTTTCCCCTTGGGTCCAGTAAAGGAATGAGATTTTCCTTGGTCCTTCTTTTGTCATTAATATATGTATAAAATCACTTTTATTTCCTTTCACAGCAGTGGTCAGATTAAATTATAACTGAGTTTTTGCCTTCCTAATTTTCTCTCTACATGACCTAAAGACATCCTTGTGTTCTTCCTGAGTTGCCTGACCTTTCCAAAGGTCACAAACTGTTTTTTCCCTGGGCTGCTGCGAAAGCTCCATGTTAGCCAGGTTGGTCTTCTTCCCCAACAGCTCATCTTTCAGCACATAATGACACTACTTCTGTGCCTTTAAGATCTCCTTCTTGAAGCCTTTCTGAACTTCTTTGTTATTTAGGACTCTTTCTCAAAGGACTCTCTAAACCAGTGTCGTAATTAGGCCAAAATCTGCTATGCCCAACATGGTCTCTGACCATCACATTTCCCACTTGTAATCAACTGCCTCAACCCCCATGTATGATTCCAGAGGCCACCACTGCCCTACAAGTTCTAGGCTTCAACACCCACCCTATTCTCAGAAACACACCTAAGAACGATGTATTAGTGATGAAAACCACGAGTACAGCTATGCTGGACTGCAGAAGATGCTGTTTTTCTTCAGTAACACATTCAGGAAATATTGTCACTCTTCATTTTTAGCCTACTCAGTTCTAGGGGAGCACACACATACACTACATTGAAGTGCCTCATTTGTATACATCAGGCCATCCACATTTTACCATATGGAGGTATCACATTATTAATAGCTGTTTTCCTTAAATAGGCTACAGTTTGCTTAATCTTTCTTTCTGTGCATGATCTTGCAAGAGTAAAAAGGCTTTCATACAAAGGCTGTGTTTTTATATGCAAATCTATTATTTGATTGCCCACTTTTTTTGTCCCTACATTATCATGAATATTTCTGATGAATGTTTTATGGGTTAGGTTTAGGATTTGTGAGCTATTTCAAATTTTATCTGTTTGCTATATCATCTGCAAATACCACAGTTTTGTTGATGTTGATTGGCCTCATTTACATATTTATCACACTTTTATTTTCAAGGAAATTTTGCCATAAACTGACTGTCCCCATTTCTCCTCCATCTACTATTAGTAGATGGATGTATTTTCAAACTGAGCCCATTTCCATATATAATTTTTTTGGTTAACAATAATTCCCCACTTAGAAACATCCCATTCAATGCCTTCAAACACATCTGACATACGGTTTCTGAGTAATTAAAGATAACAGAAGCAGTTCACAATGCACTTTGCAACCCACTTCACAGTCCAAAGTGCTCAATGATTTTCCATAAGGATGAAAAATCATTTTCCTAAACCGAACCCTCACCACCTTCTTGCTAAATCCCTTATTCATGCAAGAGTACGAGGGAGAAGGGTAGAAGTGATGCAGAGAAATGTCCTTTGGAGGTCTGCCATTGCACACACAGCACTGAAAAAGGTACTGAATTCTAAGTACATTTCCCCACTCCCACTCAGACTGCTCTTGGGTGAACAGCCTGTTTGTGATCCTCTCCTGTCAAGGTACAAGTGCTGTTCTGTTTCTAAGCAAAATGTGATTTGCCCATATATGAAATATTTCAGAAAAATCATACACAAGGCAGAATAGTTCAGGTTGGACAGTGAGGATTACAATTTCTGGTGCTAGCACCAGCTAAGCCATAGATTTTCTGTTGTTAAAGAGAAGTAGGAAACTTGTTAAAGGCTTTCCCTTCTAGTGGTGGAGATGCAATACCTCCACAATAGCATACTAATGAATGGAAGATACATCTGTTCATCAAAGGTGCTCATAATTGTACCTCCAGGCTGATCACTAAAATTCACAGAAATGAGCTGCTTACACTCTTTGTGTACTAAGATTTTTGGATCTATCACCTGTAAGAAAATTCTCTCACACATCCTGCCAGGTGCCTCTGAACATGCACAAAACAATCCTGTTTAGTTAATTCATGTGAAAAGAGAATTAACTGACCTATTATTAACAGTTCTTTCCACCCTAATCTTTCCAACTGTTTCATTCCAAAACTCACAAGATATTCAGTTTCCTGTGATCCTCTGCTATGACATGGTATTTATTCACTGCAATGACACTCCATGCTCGACCAGCCCTTTGACTGAAGAATGCCTGATTGCTGATCTGAAAAGGTATTTATGACAACATTGTTCTGGAAGGTGTCAATTAAAAAAACATTCAATTTTTTTCTTTAAACAGAAAGATAAATCTATATGAATCTCAGTGATGGGGACTTGCTTACAGGCTGTAAAAGGAGCTGCCTGGAGTAAATAGTTGTTTCCTAGTAAATATTAACACAATACATACATTTTCTCTAGGTCAACAAGTCCTGTGAAAGCTCCTTTGGGAATGACTCTGATCTTGGTGAGGACAAATCTCCTGAAAATAGAGAAAACAGGGTGATTATTTACTATTCACAACACAGGACTGCTCAGTAGCCTTGCCAGCACAGGAGAGGCCTTTCTTACAGGCACATGGATGGTCTGGCTGAAGGCTTTGGCATTTAAATATAGTTGTAACATCCAAAATTACAGCACAACATTGGGGCTCCTCAGGGGAAAAGGCATCCATCCATCAGTAGGTGCCATATCCTTGTTCCTGAAGCATTTCTTTGTTTGCTTCAGGTAGAATTCCAGACTTGCAGCGTCTCTGTTTGCTGAGAGGGAACAGCATGTTTCTTATCCCAACTGCACTTTTGAGTGATACTCAAGCACAGGATGAAGCACCCCTGTGGAGCCAGACCGAGATGAGGTGCTCACTCAAGGCTGTAAAGGGCTCCATCCATGCTCATGCAGGAAAATTCCTTAACCATGCTTGCTGCATGGATAATTTGAGAAGTCAGCTACTGTCTCCCATCATTGCAACTTAAATAACTTTATGGCTTCTCACAGTCTCTCGTCTAATTAGCTCATAATGTGCCACAAATTTGGGATTTTGGAATACTCGATAACACATGTGCCAGGACAAAATTTGTATCATTTTTAAAGGCCACAGAATATGCTTTATGAGGAAAACCCGTTTGAAATATCCATTTGAAATATTTGAAGTGTAAACCTTTTTGTTAACCTAGATTAACCTTTAATCACAATGAACAAAAAGGACTAGGAAATTTCTGATAGAACTCAGCAAATGATATACAGGGTTTCTACAACTCCTCAGAGAAATAAGGTGTTATCTGCATGACTGTTTTCTTTCACACATTTAATCATTGATAAGAAGCTAGCACAAACAAATGCATATATTAACATGACCTGCTCATCACAAGACATCAGATAACATGGGTTGCATTGAGAGACAGTTGTTAAAACGTTTTCTTTTCTTATTTAAAAAAAAACACCCACCCAAGTTACACACATGAACACATTACATACGTACATCACACCATGTGATTCAGTTTCTTAGTCTATTTTTCTGTGGAAGTAGAGATGAATTTTCTTCTGCATTACCGTGGAAGTCTTTTTTCCAGTGAACATATCTGCCAGACCACCCCTTATTTTCATCATTTCATAACTGTTTTTGCATGGCTTTTGGGATCACCTTTCAGCTCATATGCTATCTCTCTGTAAGGTCTGCAGGAGGACAGAAATGGAACTCAGCCTGCTATTACCTGCTGTGCAGTCCTGAAAATTTTAAAACAATGCCTCAAAACTAGAGACTTACTTCCTTACCATTCACATAAAGTATTCATGCAATCCTCATCTATGTTTTATTTCAGATGATTAGCTGAGATATTTCATGGCAGATTATCATGTTTTAATCAAAATTGTAGGGGAAAAAACCTATTATTCTGTGAGGGTACCAATGTGACAAGTTCACATTTTTTAATTGTAAGTCTTTAATAGGAACTACCCCCTAATGAGTTAATATTTACTTAAGCAGGAAAAAGTCAATGCACACCTCACCTGGTTCCAGAAATGTCATAGTGATTACACCAGGAGTGAACTTGGTCCCACACTTTTTTAAACACTGAAATTTATGGTATTCTCAGTTGGGAAAGACGATGAAGTCAATTTGGTATTTCATTATTCTTGTACTATCGTTAATGTAAATCAGAAAGAGCTTCAACACACTGTCACACAAGAATTACAGTATTGAGATCATTATGCAAATGTTAGAAGGATAAAAGAGCTTCCAGAAAAGGCCTAACCTGGATTAGGCAATTTGTAAAACCCGACTGAAAACGGGGCTGGTGTAATGCATGCAAAGCTGTGGCTGTGCTTTCAGAGCCGATGGGTACAATGGATCCTTGCAGAACACCCAGCAGGCTTAGTGCTACAAAGCTGAACCATCAGGAAACCCTTTAACTTTGATCTGCTTTGAAATCTCTCTCAAACTCTGCTTTGTAGAAATCCACGCCTAATTTCTGAGCCCTAAAAAAAGGGCTTTGTCTGAAAAGCCACCTATGATTTTTTTTATGGCAATGTGCTGAAATTAATCCTCTCTCTGCAGGCGCAAGTCATCAGGACATTTGCAATTTTTAATTAAACACTGGCCTATGCTGTGCTTCACCACAACAAGAAATTACAGTCTGATACAGAAACTAATGAAAAGAAGGGAACCTCATTCACAGATGGGGCTACCAATATGAGAAAAGCCACATCGGCATAAAACTAAAAATCAGACCTTGATTGAATTTCTTTGCTGAAGATCCTGATATCCTGTGTTAATAAGGTGCCTGAATTCTGGATCCACGTGTCTAATGCCCTGAAGCAGTTAAAACTGAATTGAAGTTTAATAGCTGAAATCTCATATTCCACTTAAAAAAATTAAGGTTAATTGTTTTTAAACATCTCTGAGTGAGCTATAGAAAAGTCAGACTTAAAGGCATAACTAAAAGTGAAAATTACAATCAGCTACTCATTGAATTATCAACTGCATAATGAATAACATCTATTATAACTAGCCAAATTCTCTAGTGTCAATAAATCTCACCAATTAGTCTCCAAGAATCAATCTGTACTTAACATGAGATACTGGCTGTTCAGTACCAATTCTTTCTGAGTTACATGAAGAAAATAAATGGAAAGCATTTCCTGGGCTTTGTTTCTGGCACTATTTTAGGGTCAAATAAATGAATACAGCCCACCTTTGCTCAAACATGTTTCATGTCAAGAAAAGCAAGTAAAGAAAAGCTTCCTTTAAAAAATGTGCACTTAAGAGAGATGCAGTGTTTGGTCCTAAAAATTTATGTTGGCACTTAGGTACCAGCAAGGAAAGCATTGAAAGGCCTAAACATTCAGTGAATGGTATAGAATTGCAAACCCAGAGCCAGGTGCCCAACACAAGGCACGAGAAAGTCCCGGAAAGGACTCCAGTGTTGGAGCCATCAAAAACTTAACAAATGACACAGCAGGAAGCACGGGAAAGGAAACAGGCCTCAGATGGTCACATGGTTATCCTTCCCACATGGTGGGAAGGCAATATTCGTAGCTGGAAATAGAAAAATGGCAATATTAACTACTGTTATTTACTATGTAAAATAGATTTAATTCTGGCCCATTGCTCTGATATCCAGGAGAGATTTCTAAATCCTGACTTAAGTATCTGTTGAAAGTGATTCTTGAGGAGTTTATTGGTCGGGACTGAAGCTGTCTGCTCCAGTTTTACAATCACACTCATACTTTCTATATTTCTCTGGATGGAACATACAAAATTCCCACAGCTTTTTTCCATTTCTCATTTTTAATTGCTTTAAATTTCTCTTTATTGTATAATTTTAATTTGTTCCATGAATGGGTGTGAGTAAACTCTGTTATGAGGCTACTAAAAAATGTTAGTACATAAAGCTAGACCCGTCAAGATGAGGACAGAACTATCTCCTATAGATGTGTTTATTTATATAGGATATTTAAACCTGAGGTTTAAAACAGTAGCATTTCAGTTAATATGAACACACTGACACAGATGACTTGCACTTTATACCACTGTGAAGAACAAACAATAGAAATGCATCTTGTTTCTGTATGGCTGTGTCCAGTATCACAGAAATATAGTGACAAATTAATCTCAAACCTTATAGAGAACATGATGTAAAGAACAGAAATTAGCAGATACTACTAAAATGTTCTGGAATAACCCTTTAACATTTCCAGTTATGAAGAGATTTATTGATCTTTTCTTAAAATAGAGTCTTCTTCAGCTGAAGTAGTTCAGACAGGCAGAGCATAAGATACGAAGGAAAAAAAATCTTCAGAAAAATTAATGCTCTCTCATGCAGCCCCAGATGATTCCAGTGATAGAAAGGAGATTGACCTCATCACAAAAGGATGGAGGACTGGATGTCATTATTCAAATATCTGATGCTCAGGGTATGGGTGATTAAAAAGGCTTGTTAAATTAGAAGATAAAAAAGGTGGACCTATACAGGTCATTTCTGTTAATTGTCTCTGAAAAAAAAGTGCCAAGGAAACCTGTGAAGTGAAGCCAATGTAGCAAATGTCTGACCTCACTGTGTTTGTGAGGTTAGACATTTGTGTTCAAAATGTTGCATTTTACATATTCATCAAAAGAATTCTCAGACCCTGGTCCCACAGATTTTTCTTGAACAATTAATAAGATGCTCTTTGGCATAAATTTTTCACCAGAACTTTCTCCTACACTACTTTTGTGTTCCCTCCTCCCAGCTCCCTTCATTGGCAAAGGCCTCCCCCTGCCACTGGCAATAACCTTGCACAACAAAGAACTGCACTGATTATCAGACATTAGACTGGGTAAAAAGAATAAAATAATTTCTGCGCCATAAAGCCTGGCTGAATTTAGGTCTTTCAAAACACTCGTTAAAAAACGTTTTTTAGATCTACTTAAGTCACACACAGTTAATCAGAAAAGTGTGTGCATTGTAGAATTATCTTCCCTGCCTCATGTAAATTGCAAATTCTTTACGTTAAAATGAACTATATCAAGCAGATACTATAAACTTTATAACTTAAAGAACAAAGGAAAATAAAATAAAAAGCCAAAAAGATTCAGTGACCATAATGCTAAATCACCAACTTTGGTTCTAAAGAAATAAATGTGATAAGATTTTGAAGAACATTTTTACTTTAATCTCTGAGCTAATAGACTGATGCTATCACCTTCTAATCCTCTGCAGCAATGTGCATTTTTTCAAACAAAGATTTACAGTGAAATTTAATTTACTCTCCGTAATTCTTTTTGGTTGTTTCTTTGTTGTTTCTTTGTTTCTGCTTCTTGCTTTGGAGGTTCCTGCACAAGCAACAGATGAATTTTTGCTTTACATCAGGGGAAGACAAAATGATTCTATGATATATTTAATGTGCTCTTGATTAAATGCACAAATCAACAAGATCTTGCATCCTGGTAGGTTTTTTTCCCTGTTTTTCCTTGATTATTCAATACAACAGTGAAGAACTATTTTG